GCGTCTCGCTAGACGTCCGGCACCTGAGTCACCTCTCGGCCTGAGGTCTGCGGTGGCTAAGCTCCCGGGCCAGTCAGGGCTTCGGGAGGTCGGTGCTGCCGTCCGCAGCGTTTCACGGGGCACCTCAGGCGCTTTGGGGACAAAACGCTGCCTTCGCTCCCGTCCCAGGTGAATGCAGACGCTTCCAGGAGAAGTTCATGAAGTGCCTCCGCGATAACAAGTTTGAGAACGCGTTGTGCAGACACGAATCCAAAGAATATTTAGAGTGCAGGATGGAGAGGCAAGTGCGGGCCCCGCTCCCGGCCCCGCCCCCATCGGCGCTTTCCCGCCTCCACCCGGACGCTGCTTTCCCAGAGGCCCCTGCGGCGCCGGGTCCGCCCTGCCCGAGCTGGGGCCGGCGCGTGCGCACGGGAGCTTCTCCCTCGGGGCACCCCGCGCGGGCCGCGTTCCTCCCTCCCTGCGTTGTCTCCGCAGGCCGGGGTGGGTGCTGTCACTGCGGTTTCGGCCGAGTGAGGAGCCGGAGGCGGGGCGCAGTGGCTCCCCCCCCCTTGGCAGTGAGTTGGGCGGTTTGGAATGTGCCGGTGACGGGTGACGGAGACCGTGGGCCACTTAAACGTGGGAGGTGGAGGACTTCCGAGGGCGCCCAGTTCCCATCCACTTATGTATTCTTTCTTGTTCATCCTCACCCGAGGGTGTTTTTCCATTGGCCTTTTTTAGAGAGAGGGCGAGAGAGGGGAGGCGGACACATGGACGGCTGCCTCCCGCAGGCGCCCTGACACAGGCCGATGCTCTATCTCCTGAGCCAAACTGGCCGCTTAAGCACGACCACAGTGTTGGCCTCTGGCCCTTCCCGCTCCCGACCGCCTCTCGGACCACCGCCAGCGGAGGCCTTGACTTCAGGGTCCCTCACGGGGTGAACCCAAGTGATCTCCCCCCAGAACCCCCTGCGCCTGCAGTGGGCTCCCCCTGCCCCAGGGGGTTCTCACTGGCTTCAGGGCCAGCGCGTCCCTGGGGGTCCTGGGCCCACCCACCGCAGGGAAGTCAGGCCGCAGCTCTGACAGCTGTTGGCCGGGCACCCTCCTCACCAGAATGCGAGAGGGTCCACTGTGGGCCGGAGTGTGAGCCCGCTGCCCTGGAGTCACTGACCTGCTGCCAGCCCACCCCGTGCTGACCGGGCTGGCCGTTCTGCGGACATTTCCCTGAGCTCCGAGCCTGCCTCTCAGAGCCCAGGATGCTCTCTTACCCGCACCTGACCACCCCGCCAGGCCGGGGGCACCTCCCAGGCAGCACACAGTCAGAGGCTGTTGGCTCTGCTGTCTGAGCCTCGGGCCACTTTGGCTTTCCAGCCGCCGGCCTGCAGGTGCGGCCGCCCTTTCAGTTCTGCGCGTTGTTGCCCAGGTTCCCGGGATCTGGCCTCCCTGCCGCCCGCCCACCCTGTCTCCAGCGACAGGCCCCTCCGAGCCCCGTGGCTGCCTCTCCCGTGGAACTCCTTGCTGGGCACCGCCTTCTGGGGGCCTTCCCTTCTGAAACCACTGGACACACAGGCCACACTGGTAGGGGCAAGTGTGCTAAGCAAGGAGCTTACCTACCAGCTTGCCCAGCCCTTTTGGGGACACAGACAAATTACTTAGTCTGTCCTCTGTAGGCTTTTTATGTTTAAGTGGATTCTGGCTTTTTGCAGTGGAGATTGTCCAGCATGTGCAGAGCAGAGAGCAGTCCAGTGAGCCCTGCCCTTGTCCCCTGGCGCCAGTAATTGCCCACGTTTCTCCGTCTTTCTCCCGTCTCCATCCCCTTCCATTTGCTCGAGCCTGAGAGCAAGTCCCGAGCTCCTGGCTGCTGAAGCAGCTCCAGTGTTTTCCGAGGGGGGACGGCTGCAGGTCCTTCCGGGGCTGTTTGTGTTCTCAGCAGCGTGGCCAGCACACAGGCCCACAGAACCTCAGTTGTGTCCGAGCATCGCAGGTGGTCATAGTGTCCAGCGTGCCTGGGGCCGCTCACCCTCAGGGGTGCAGGGTGCAAACGCTTAGCGCGGGAAGGGGGGTGGCGGTGATGGTGGCCCGCAGTGGCGGGTACCGGCACATCCGGGAGGTGAGCGAGGGGCCTCTGAGGGGCTCCGGGCTCCCAGGCACCTGCCCGGCGCCTGGACAGCAGGAGGCTGGTGGGGACCAGGTCCCTCCGGTGGGATGGCAGCCTGGGCGCCTGGGTGCTGCTCCTCATTCTCCTCCCTCCCCCTGACACCTGTCTGTCTGTCTGTCTTTCAGGCAACTGATGGCACAGGAACCACTGGAAAAACTGGGGTTTGGAGATTTGATGGATGGAAAGGCAGACAGACACTAATTCTCACAGGATCACGGGGGGGGGTGTGGCTGAGAAAGGGGCGTCGAGTGCCCGCGGGCACCTCGGTGGGCTCACAGCCAGAAGGCTCATCCTCCGTCTCCTGGATCACTTTGAGAGATGATCTTCCCCTGGTGCGAGTTCTGTCTAAAATGCACGTGGGACGCTTCCTGTCACCTGGGAGCCCGTGATGGTGACAGACTGAGAGTCTTGTCTGTGAGTGGACACTCGAGCCGCATCTTGTAACACTGGACGTTTGTGAATTTTAGAAAACTTCCCTGGAAAAATGGTTTTCTTTCCCTTTTTTATAAAACAGAACAATGAAAAAGCAGAATCCAAGAGTGTCTGTGATATGTGAGAAAGATGTTAGAAACTGCAGAAGTGGCCCTGGCTGGGCCCTCAGGTGGTTAGCGCATCCCGATGTGCCAGGGCTGTGGGCTCAGTGCCCAGTCGGCACATACGAGAACCAACCAGTGAGTAAGGGGAACAGCAAGTCGATGTCTCTCTCAATAAATTAAAAAACGAAATTAAAATCTGTGTTGACTGGATTAAAAAAGTTCAAACTAGAAATATTCGTGTGTTTGTACAAAAGGAAACTCTGGCATCAACGAGAATGGCTGCCAGCCTGCGGCCGGGCTCTGCCTTGGAGCCATGTTGTTTCTCACAGCCAGGCCGAGGGCCCACGGGGAGCACCCCGTGCACAGAGCGCCCCAGCCTGACGCCCCGACAAGGCACAGGTCCCTCAGTGGTTTTCTTGCCAAGCGCATAACGAGGAAGCCCAGTGCTCAGAGCGTCCGGTCCGCGAGGACACCAGGCCGTTCTGGCACCCGGCTCCGTGGCCCAGGCCAGGGGGACGGGCGGGAGGCCACCGCTGAGGGTCTGCAGGTGAGTGGCCGTGGCGATCCCGCGCTTGTCCTGGGATCAGGTAAGACGCTATGTGGAGAAACTGGGCATGTGACACTTCTATTTTTGTAGCTTTGGGGAAGTCTGGAATTGTTTCAGAATGAAAAAGTACTTTGTGTTGAACTCTTGGCAGCTGAACTTTGTGGACGTCGGGGAGGTTGTCACCGAGTTTGCAGTCGGGGTGATGCGACACACAGGGTCTCGGAGCCAGGGAGGCGGGGAGGGCCAGTCCGAGAGGAGCCTGCGTGGGGAGGGTGGGCGGCTCCTGACGGGGAAAACAGGACGCGGGGCCAGCCGCCCGCCCGCTCCTGTGTGCGAAGTGCAGGTCACTCCTCGGTGCCCTCGTCTCAGAGACAGCAGGGGCACCACGTCTCCAGGGCCTTTTCCGAGGACCTTGGGGAGGCGTCAGGAGCATGGCCAGGCCCAGGCCCTCCTCGGTCTGGCCCTTTCAAGTCATGGCAGGGGGTGCAGAGCTGAGTCCCCCTCGTCCCTCGCCCTGTGCCCTGTGCCCCCTCCGCTGCAGCCACACCCCAGCCCTCGGGAGGCCCCTTCCCTCTGCATTGTTCCCAGAAGCCCAATGGCTGAAACGCGGAGGCGTGTTCCTGAGGCGTCTGGAGCCTGAAACACCGAGGGGCCACGTCTCTGCTGGGGGCTCTGGCGAGACCCCTGCCTTTTCCGGCGTCTGGAGGTGCCTCATGCTGGGGCCTGTGGCCTCTGCTCCCTCCCATCGTCCTGCTCTGCCCGCTACCCCCCCCCCCCAGGACCCCAGGATGCCCTGGCCTGGGTGGTGTCTCGTTCTGGAACCTGTGGCTCTTGCTTTGTGGGCACTGACCGTGAGGACAGGGTCGGCCAGTGCATGTGCGACGCAGTCCCTCTCGGGGTGTTTGTCCACCACACGGCTCCTGGTCTGGGGGGGCGGGGGAGCACGTTGGGGTCCCTGTCGGGCTGGCATGGCCGACATCACCTGGCTCCCTTCCCAGTTCTCTTCACGACTGTTTGACAACAAGCACGTCTCGTTTTTATAGAAACAGTGAAGCCGTTAGTCAGAAGCAGCTCGTTGTGTGTACAGGTGGTTTTATATCGTCTATAAATGATGTGCCTGTGGCTGTGACTTTATGTCCGTAAGCGCAGCCCCGCTCATCTGTCCTGGTTTCTGTGGTGGAGTCCGTGTGGGTTTGCTGGCAGCCGCCAGGCACGAAGGGCTGTGAGGGGCTCCATGGAGAGGCAAGCCGGGCGGTCAGAGTCGCCTGGTGGCCCCACACAGAGGGCTTCTCCCCACCTCCTGGAGCCTGAGCCTGGAACCTAGAGTCTGAGCCTGACCCGGAGCCTGACCCCGGAGCCTGTCCCTGGAGCCTGACCTGGAGCCTGGAACCTGGAGCCTGGAACCTGGAGCCTGACCCGGAGCCTGACCTGGAGCCTGGAACCTGGAGCCTGATCCGGAGCCTTGACCCCGGAGCCTGACCCGGAGCCAGTGGAGGGCCGACTGAGGTGAGGCCAGGAGGGGCAGGGGTCCTTTGTTGCTGAAGACACGAGGGAGCCTTTGAGTCAGAGCGTGAGCTTTGTCTGGAAATAAAGTTGTGAGTCTCCAGGCTCTCCCGAGGCACAGATCCCGTTTCACAGCTGTGTGCCACGCATGGTGCGGCAGGACCCCTCCTGGACAGACCCCCGCCTGGGCTCCCTGGGGTCAGCCCTCCTGCGGGAGGCCTGGCAGGACGCCACCCACCCCCTACTTTCTTAGGGGACACGCCCTGTGGCGGCACCCACCGCGCTCAGCTGGGCGCCAAGGTGTGGGGTCTGTGGGACAGGCCTGCTCCCAGGGGGCCGGAATGCTCAGGCCTGAGCTTCACCTGCCCTGAGCTTCCCCAGGAATTCAGGGGCCTCCTGGTGCTGGGCCTGGGGGGTGCCCACCCTGAAGGCCTGCAGGTGGGTCTCGCTCCCGTTGGAGCGTGCGGCCTGAGAGTTTTGTAACAGCCGCAGGGGTTCCTGGTCTGGGACCTGGACGGTCAGCACCCGGAGGCCGGCAGCAGCAGAGGTGAGGAGGGCAGGGGCCAGGCGCAGCCTCTGGAGCCTGCTGTCCCCTCGCGGGCACACACAGACCCACACGGGGAGGGCCCAAGGGTGCCGCGTCCCCTGCTGTGCCCTCCCTGCCCCAGGGACGCCCTGAAGAGGGTGCTGTGGGGCCCGGACAGGGGGCGTTGTTCCCGAGTCCCACCCGAACCTCCGGCTCCCAGGGTTGGACCAGCAGCTCTAGTCCCAGGCGGCGCTGCTGGAAGGACAGGGTCCAGGACGGTGTGGGGAGGGGCTGGGACACCTCCTCCAGGGATCTGCCTGCCGGTCCCGCCCTCCTGAAGGTGCTGGGCTGGGGGCGCTTTGGGGGTGGGGCTGGTCCGCCCAGTAATTGGGCCAAACCCTCAGGAAACAGTTTTCCTTCCCCTCTGACCCACTGCACCTCCAGGACCGAAGGTGGTCGCGTGGCGGCCCCTGCTGGACGGCGGCAGCACTGCAGCGCAGAGGGGGGTCACCCGAAGGGGAGGGGGGGCACCGGGGAACCTGAGGGTGGAACCCAGGTCTTCCGGACATGCCAGGGCGTCCCCCTGAGGCTCATCAGTGCCCCCGCCCCACCCCGTGGGCAGCAGTGTGGTCCACATCCGCTGGGGGCAGGTGCCTGCTCACCTGGTGGCCCAGGCTCACCGCCCACACCTGCAGACAAGTGCCCGGGCAGGGCCTGTGGAGGTAGGAATGGAGCTGGGCTCTTGCGCTGGAGACCAGAGGGGCTGTGGGGAGCTGCAGGGGCTCACCCCGGAGGCCAGCGCTCTGGGGCGCGTGGGGAGCGCGGGGTTGGGGTTCTGGAGACCCCTTTGCCTGTCCACCCTCCCTGCATTTAGACACCGCGGTTTCAACCAGCTTCTCGCTGGGGCTGGGCGGGGGCTGAGGCTTCCTCACCTGAGGCCTCTCACTGGGGCTGGGAGGACGCCAGCCGCTGGGGCTGATCCAGCAGCCGGGGCATCGTGGGCTCCCTCCGCCCGCTCCACTGGGCCTCCACGGTGAGAGGTGCCGAGCTCCGTACCTGGCTTCCAGGCTCAGCTCCAAGGTGAGACAGAGTGAGAGCAGAGAGGGAGAGAGACTGAGATGCAGATAGAGACACAGAGAGAGGTAGGAAGAGAGGCATGCAGATACAGAGAGAGAAAAACAAAGAAAGAAAAGCAATCTGAGAGCTTGTGCACCAGGCGGAGGTGACTTCCTGTCAGGGCCCACCCTGGGCAGTCACGTGGGCCTTGCAGCCATTCTGCACAGGTTGAGCAGTCAGAACCCCACCCAGACTCAAGTTGAGAACAGAGATCCCTCCTCTCAGTGGATGGATGGGTGGATGGATGGATGCTGGGTGGATGGATCTGTTTTCCTGAGTCATCCTGGTCTCTGCAAATGATTCGTCATTTTTTCAGCCACTGGTGTTAAGCACCTGAGAATCAGGATGGATGGATGGATGGATGGGTGAATGAATGGATGGGTGGATGGATAGCGGGTGGGTGGTTGGATGGGTAAATGAATGGATGGGTGGATGGATGGATGGATGGATGATGGGTGGGTGGATGGAGGGACAGAGAAGGAAATACAAGCCCCATTGCACCTGTCCAGGCCCATCCCACATGTTGGTACGGGACTTGGTCCCAGCAGACCCGCTCGGAGGCAGCTGGTTTGCAGCGGGTAGAGCCCAGTGACCTGTGAAAGGCATCCCACCTCCCACCCTGTGTTCTGTGAGGCTCTCGGGCTTCCCGGCTCCTCCCTCTGGGGTGCGTGGGGTCCTTCATGCTGGTCTCTGGCCTCAGGGCCAAGGTGTGATCCAGGAGACACCCCCATGAGGTGCATGGCCCAGCCCTCCCCAGCCTCAGTCTCCCCATCGCTAAGGTCCATGAGGCCAGCTCCTGGGGGCTGCTGAGGGGGTGGAATCAGGACCCGGTCACCTGTGGGGGCTGCACGGGCTCAGCACAGCGGGGACGTCGTCAGGTCCCGAGCAGGAGAAGCAGGAGAAGCTGTAGGTCCTGTTGGACGCGTGGGAAATGCTTGGGACCGAGGACGCCTGCAGATGGACCCGCCGCAGCCCCCTGAGCGGTGCACACCGCCGGGCATGTTCTCAGGCCCGTGCCCGGGTGAGGTGTGTCGCTGCCTCACGCGTGTGTGTGACGAGCTCTGGGTGGGGACGACCTGTGTGTCCGTCACCTGCCGGTGGACACTGGCTGCTCCCACCTCTAGCTGCTGTGAGCGAGTGTGCCAGCCCCTGTGCCCCTGTGTTCAGTTCTCAGGTCTGTGCCCAGGAGTGGACTTGCTGGGTGGTGGTCACTGCATTTAACCATCTGAGGAGCCGCCGGACAATGTCTTCAGAGGCTGCCACCTTCCACCCCACCGGCTCCTCCGGGTTCTGCTCCCCCCTCGTCCTCACCTACACTTGCCTTCTGTTTTTATTTTTCTCTCTTAAAATTTATTTGAGAGAGAGATTTGCTGCTCCACCCATCCACGCACTCAGTGCTTGCTTATTGCATGTGCTGTGACCGAGGCTCGAACCCACAACCTTGGCGTATTGGAACGACACTCTAACCATCTGAGCTGCCCAGGCAGGGCTGTCTTCCGTTTT